AGCTCTTGTCAGAACTATGGCTTGCCCAAGGTCATCCAGCAGGTGCAAGTGGAGGAGTAGGGAATCAAATCCGGTTCTCCCAGATTAGAGTCCGCACATTTAACCACTACACCAAACTGGCTCTCTGGTCACCACACCTCAAAAAGGATATTATAGCATTGGGAAAAATGCAGAAAAGAGCAACTAGAATGATAAAAGGATTGGAACACTTTCCCTATGAAGTAAGGTTAAAATGGTTGGGGCTCTTTAGCTTGGAGAAATGACATGATCGAGGTTTATAAGATTATGTATGGGATAGAGCAGGTTGAGAAAGAAGTACTTTTCTCCCTTTCTCACAATTCAAGAACTCGTGGGCACTCAATGAAATTGCTGAGCAGTCGGGTTAGAACGGATAAAAGGAAGTACTTCTTCACCCAAAGAGTGATTAACACATGGAATTCACTGCCACAGGAGGTGATGGAGATCCCTTCCCCTCCCCACAACAGACACCCTGTGAGGTGGGTGAGGCTGAGAGAACTCTGACACAAACTGCTCTTTCAGGAACAGCTGTGACAGAACTTGTGACTGACCCAAGGTCACATCAGCAGGTGCAAGTGGAGGAGTGGGGAATCAAACCCGGTTCTCCCAGATTAGAGTCCGCACACTTAACCACTATACCAAACTGGCTCTCTCTCTGGGAAGATACATCTGTTGAGTATGTGGCAGAACAGGCCTGGGGCAATTGATGCACTGGCTTCTTGGTGCTTGGGGGGGGTCAACAGTGGGAGGGCTTCAGGGGTCCTGGCCCCACCGGTGGACCTCCTGATGGCACCTGGTATTTTTGGCCACTGTGTGACAGAGTGTTGGACTGGATGAGCCATTGGCCTGATCCAACATTGGCTTTTCTTATGTTCTTATGAGACTTACCATGTCCGAGTTCAGTCTGAGCATACGTCCCTGCAATGTAATGCTTTTCTGCCAAGGTGATCCACTTGGCGATCTGCTCGTCCGTGCCCAGCCCCAGAATACTCTTCATAAAGACGTTGTGCACACTGAAGGCCAAATCATCACCAAGTGCCCTGTAACAAGGACAGACAGGTTAGGTTACAGACACTGGCCCCAAACAAACAGTCTACAAGGTGATCCTAAAGTTGGCCCTGATGGGGCTGGTTACACTCCCGCCTTTTTAGTGGCATCTCAGCAGCGCCTTTCAATTTAGCAACCGTTTGTCAATCTTGTCTCTATGAGAAGTGTTCTTGCATGCTGCCTGGGTTTGCAAAAATGTTTCTCACGTTAATTGTTACAAAGCAGGCAGGAATACTCTGCTGTTCCATGCCATAAGAACAGAAGAGTAGCCAGAGGTCATTTCGGGGGGGATTGCAGTTCCCCCGGGTGAGGTGGGGGGGCGGGGCACATGATGAAGCCACACCCCCTGCTTCCGGCCGCCCCACTTCCGGCCCTCATTCAGCCAGGAGGAGGCAGGAGAAGAGGGAGGGTAAGTTGCTTCCTCCCTGCCTCTCCCCACCCCTGCCTGCCTGGGGCCAGGGAGGGCCTTCGCGGGGCTTTCTTGCACTCCCGCCGGCCTTGCAGGTCCACCGCCGGGCCCCTCATGGGGCTCGGCAGTGGAGCTGCAAGGCCGGCGGTGGCGGCCGGGACCATTGGGGGCGGGGTGTGTGGCCTTATGACACACTTCCGGTGATGTCAGGGGGTGTGGCATATGCTAATGAGTTATGCTAATGAGTTCCCCTAGCTCTTATTCTACGAAACGACCCCTGAGAGTAGCCATGCTTGATCAGATCAATGGTCTGTCTATTCAGTCCAGCATCCTATTTCCTGCAGTGACCAGCGAGATGCCGCAGGGAAGCTCACACACACATATGCCCAACTCATGCCCCAACATGCCTTGTAGATTGCTTCGCTGCTAAGAGCCAATGATGAAAGGCAGGGGCAGAACAATGTGCAGCACAACATTGCACTGCACATTGGGGTTTACCTAGACATTAAGGGGGGAGGGAATAACAGCAGCCCATGAAGCCCTAACGCTTATTGTGTTTAGATGTAGCCCTACTCAAGAGGAAAACAACTCTGGAATGCTCTTATGCTTTGAACAAAGGCCTGATCTGCAGAAAACAGTGTTTTGGCGTACACACCTTAAAAATGTAACCTGTGAAGGCAGCCCAGTAAGGGGACCTGCAGCCAGAACTTAACCAGGCATGCCTGTTGGTGCCAGCCTTTGGCAAGTCAAACTGTCAAACCAGCTTATCTTCTTATTACAAAACTCATACAAAGAAGAGCCCTGCTGGATCAGACCAATAGTCCATTTGTTTGTTTATTCAATTTCTGACTTGCCCTCCCTTACTGATGTAGGCCTCAGGGCAAGTAACAACATATTATAATAATACAATCATAAATTAAATAAAAACAAATTTAAAACACTACTCATAATAAACAGATGGCATGTAACAATACAGTTTCACAAGGGGGGAAAATTGGTCATGTCAGCACTGGGGGAAGGCCAGAAAGACGAGAGAGCAAGAGGAGGACCCGTCAAGAGAGAGTTTTTATTTTCCACTGCCAAGAGCCTCGACCCCCAATCCACCGCCAGTCAGCTGGCCCGTGAGGGGAGCCCCACCCCTGAGCAGCCCTGTCCATGCTGATGTGTCCAGAGTGATGACATCCTCCAGAGGTGACATCATCGCACAGGGAACATTGCGGGGGGATGCTCTAGCATTGGGGGAAAACTCCATGGTAACCTCTATGAGGCCTCTAGAACTGCACAAAGTACTTCAGGTGCTGCTTGACCAATGCAGTGTACAGTGGGACTATGACATCTTGCAATTTGGATGTTATGCCTCTGTTGATACACTCCAAGATATAAATCTTCAGTATAAATTGAGTATAAATGGGAAATTTTCTCAGTGGAGGGTGGTAAGCAGTGGGGTACTACATGAATAAGTACTCGGTCCAATGCTTTTCAACTTGCTCATTAATGATTTGGAGTTGGGAGTAAGCAGTGAAGGGGCTAAATTTGCAGATGATACAAGGTTGTTCAGGGTGGTAAAAACCAGGGGGGGTTGTGAGGCACTGCAAAGGGATCTGTCGAGGATGGGTGAGTGGGCGTCAACGTGGCAAATGGGGTCCAATGTGGCCAAGTGCAAAGTGATGCACATTGGAGCCAAAAATCCTAACTATAAATACACATCGATGGGGTCCGAACTGGCAGAGACTGATTATTTATAAAAATATTGAAAAGTACCGGGCCCAGAACTGAGCCCTGTGCCTCCCCAACTAGATACCTCCCTCAATTCAGGTGGAATGCCACTGACAACTACTCTTTGAGTGTGGGTCCCAGACTCCATAGGGCTTTGAAAGTTAAGACCAATACCTTGAAGTTGACCCGGTATTCAACTGGGAGCCAGTGCAGCTGGCGGAGCACCGGTTGTATATGTGCTCTTAATGGTGTTCCTGTAAGGACAAGTGCTGTTGCATTCTGGACCAGCTGGAGGTTCCTGATCAGTCTCAAGGGTAGCCCTGCATAGAGCGAGTTACAGTAATCCAACCTGGAGGTGACCATTGCATGGATCGCAGTGGCTAGGTCGAGGGGGGAGAGATAGGGGGCCAGTCGCCTGATCTGGCAAAGGTGGAAAGATGCCTATCTGGCAACATTTGTGATTTGGGCCTCCACAGATAAGGAGGCATCCAAAATCACACCCAAGCTCTTCACTGCTGGTGCTGGTATTAACAGTGCCCCGTCAAGAGCTGGGAGTTGGATCCCCAATCCTATTACCCCTCAGCTCAGGCACAGGACAACTGCCTTTGAAAGAGTTCGTTTCAGTCGACTCGGATGGTTTAATTTAGTGCTCTCCCTTTGTCCATTCTATCTTCACAACAACCCTGTAAGGAAGTGGAGGCTGAGTTCACAGCTGCCACAACTGGGACTAAACTGACATTTCTGAACAGATTTCAAGAAGTTGTTCCAAATGGATGTCATTACAGTAGCCCAACCTGGATTTGACCAGAACATAGACAGCAGCAGGCAACTCTAAGCTTTTCAAAGAATGGGCATCACTGGCCAATTAGCCCAAGTTGGTTAAAGGTCTTTGTACCACAGAGGAGATCTAGATCTCCATCTGGAGTCCACCTTATAACAGGCAGAACAAGGAATGGACCTCATTCAAAATAGGCAGTCCTCTCATTCCTTGTTTTGCCTCCCAGTTCACCAGGTGCAGCTTCTAGTAAAAATGATGCCTTCTATGCTGTAAAAAAGGAGGAAGGTATGGATCCGATCACCCTCCACACTCTTGCTGGGGGTGGTCAGCTCTTACTCCTTGTAAGCTCTCGCTTTCTCTCACCTAGTACAGTTGAAAACAGAAGTTTTAAGATGGCTGATATAACTTTAACAGCATGAGGGGTGGGTTTGGGGTGGGTTTTTTTTTTTTTTTTTTGAGGTGGGTGTTCTTCCACAGCACCTGTAGCAATATTTCTGTTCAGGTCCATCGACGGCCCATCCCATTTCTTCTGTCTTTTTGGAGAGGTAAAGTGATCTTCTGACGGCACCTTCATATCTCTCATTTTGGCTCAGGAAGTACTTGTTTTCTCTGCTAAATTCTGGGTCGCTCTGGAGAACTGCATCTACAGAACATGTAACAGGGTTTTTGTTTTGTTTTATAAATAAGGCCATAGCACAGGAATCTCCCTCTGGCAAGCAGACTTATATTTTTCCAGATCAAGATGGGTAGCCGCGTTAGTCTGTCCGTAGCAGTAGAAAAGAGGAAGAGTCCAGGAGCACCTTAAAGACTTAACAAAAATTGTGGCAGGGGATGAGCTCTCCTGAGTCACTGCTCACTCCTTCAGTTATTTGCACAGACATTCACTGGGAGCTCTACAGCAGGAAGTGCCCCTACTTCGGGTTGGCTCACAGGGTAAAGTAAAATGCTCCTCTGAACATTTCAAACATTTCAAATGCCCGTTCCCCTCTCCCCATTCAAGTTGTTCGCCAGGGTCCTGATCCCATAACAAGAGAATTGGGGGGGGGGGCACTTAGGGCTGCAGTGAGGTCAGGAAACGAGACAGTCATACTTTGCAGATGTAAATCTCTTCTGCTAACAAGAGTTTCTGTTAGATCCAAGCCCTGGCCTGATTCTGCATGACAGGAGGCCCTCTACTTTTCATCCCAGGATAACTCACTTTGAGCAAGTCTCATTGAACTGAGTGGACTTACTCCTCCACAAACGGAGAAACAGGGACAACACTAGAGATCAGAAAACAAGGACTGTCCCTGTTAAATAGAAGTAGTTGCCACATATGCAACTTGCAGTTATGTTATGTCCGGCTGAGTTTCAGAACCAAGTCAGGGTATTTCTTTAGTCTGGCAACGAAAAACCCTCAGCTGTGTTTGTAAGTCTTTCCAAGATTCCAACAGGAAACTCGGGAAAATAAATCAAACAGTGTAACTAAAAAGTTAACCACCCTTGACGACCACTACTCTAGTTTCAAGACTGACAGTCAGCATTTTGAACTGAAATAAAATTTGACTTCTACGACAAGGAAACACAGAAACTCTGTGCTCATAACGAGCTAATCCAGCCACACTGGTTCCAGGTGGTTTAATTTACATGCAGCGTGCTACACACAAGCAGGATCAGTACCAGAGCCAGGAGGCAACATCAAGGGAAGGCCTCTATGGCCTGTTGTTGGCTCTTCAGAGGAACTGGCTGGCCCCTGCGTGAGACAGGATGCTGGACTAGATAGACCACTGATCTGAGCCACCAGGGCTCTTCTTATGTTCTTATGATTTTAGGAGTCTTCATGGAAATGCCCTCATTAGCCCCTTAGGCAAGACATGCAAACAGAAGATAGTCCTGCAGCACCTTTGACCTACTACTATGCTCCACGCATGGAGGACTGGGTCTTTTGCTAGGTTTGGGCCCAGTTCTTTGGACCAGGCTCTGAGAGCAACATTTCCAAATCTCAGCATTTTTTTCTGCAGAGAGGGAAGGTGGCAAGGGCCAGGTGAATGATAGTGAACAACAATAGGAACCACAAGAACGGATAAGAACTGGAACCACTAGTAGGTCTCTGCCCAAAATTTCATTTGGTTCCCAAATCCTGTGCATAGTGCCTGAGGGTTTTTAACAAAATATTATTTAATTATGAGGACTAGAAGATTTCTGTTAGCAGTGATAGAAGATTCTTATGAGGTGATTCATGTAATCATTTCAATACATTACAATTCCTCCCCCCTAAGTTAAGCCATCATCCCAATTGTTTTATTATTTACAAACATGCAATCAACCTTTGTACATCAGTTATTCCAACAGTATTTACACTCATAGTCCTTCAGATAAGTCGGCATTTGCCGCGAACGCTGGGACCTGCGGAGCGGTGCAGGCTCCACGGGCAGACAAGGTTGTGGGTCAGAGTGGGGTTCACTACAGCCTGGATCAGGCACAGACTCGACTGGGATTTCAGCCCCGCACACAGGGTTCTGCCCTGACTCGGGGACAGTACCGGGCCTTTCGGTACTCACCGCCTGCTCTGGGGGTGTCCACTCGACATCAGGGGATTCAGCCGTCGGAGAGTCAGCGCTGTCCCTAGCCCAACGTCTCCTTAACTGATCTATGTGGCGCCGCCATATTCGACCGTCAGCTAACTGCACCACATACATTCGAGTACCCACAGAGTCGGATATAACCCCAGGAAGCCACAAGTGCCCGTTTGCATAATTTCGTGCGAAAACCTTGTCCCCTTTTTCAAACATGCGCACCTTCGGTTGCGCAGTGGTACGCTCGGACTGATCTTCTGATAGGTCTGGGTGCATACGGTTCAAACGGGTCGTGAGTCTCCGCCCCATTAACAATTCGGCCGGACTACGGCCTGTAGCACTACAGGGGGTGGTGTGCTGCAGCAAAAGAAAGGAGCCCAGCCTCTGGCTCCAGTCCCCTTCGTCCATTTTACCCAGGGCCTCTTTGGCCGTCCTGACCATCCGTTCGGCTTGGCCATTAGATGCCGGATGGAAAGGGGCCGAAGTCATTTGGCGTATGCCATTACTCGTGAGGAAGAGCCTAAATTCCTCAGACACAAATTGAGGCCCGTTGTCACTGACGATGACGTCAGGCAACCCGTGGGTGGCAAAAAGTCGGCGGAGCGCATGGATCACAGCAAGTGATGTGGTCGATTTCATATGCACGACCTCCAGCCATTTGGACATAGCGTCCACCACAATTAGGAACATTTGCCCTTGGAGAGGGCCAGCAAAATCTATATGCAATCTGGCCCAGGGTTTACCAGATGACTCCCAGCCTTGGGGTGTAGCTTGTGGGGGATCGGGTCTGACTTGCTGGCATTTGGGACACCCTCGTACCCATTCTTCGATCTCTTTGTCCAGCCCCGGCCACCAGACATACCCTCTGGCCAACGCTTTGGTGTGTACCATACCGGGGTGACCCTCGTGCAGCGACTCTAACACTCTCGTCCTGAGTTTGTCAGGAACCACCACCCTGTTCCCCCATAATACACAGCCCTTAGAAATGGATAGTTCATTTTGACGGCTTTTGTAAGGGCCGAACTCCGGTTCAACGCTTCCAACCGGCCACCCCCTCCAAACCCAGTTTAATACTCGGGACAGCACGCTATCCTTGGCCGTGTGTGCTGCAATGTCCCTGGATGATACCGGGGGTCGAGGAAGCTCCTCAATTGCCAAGACCTCACAGGCGGGGGCAGGGTCTGCGCCAATGTCCGGCACCGGGCACCGGCTGAGGGCATCCGCATGCCCAATCGCTTTCCCAGGCCGGTGCTCTAAGTCAAAATCATAAGCCTGCAAAAATATCGCCCATCTAAGCATGCGTGGGGACATGATGTTTGGCAATTGCTTATCGGGCGCAAAAATCCCCAGTAGCGGCTTGTGGTCAGTGACCAGCAAAAATCGTCTGCCAAAAATAAAATCATGGAACTTTTTGACAGCCGCTACCAACGCCAGACCCTCCTTGTCTATCTGGGCATAGTTCCGCTCTGCCGCAGATAGTGATCTAGAATAAAAAGCGATAGGCGCTTCGCTCCCATCAGGCATCAGATGGCTTAAAACTGCGCCTACTCCAAACGGTGAAGCGTCAGCAGCTAACACCAGGAGCTTGTGTTCATCATAATGCGTGAGTACGGCATTAGATGTCAGCAGCTCCTTGACTCCCACAAAAGCCTTTTCCTCGGCCTGCCCCCACTTCCATTTTGCCTCCTTGTGCAAAAGCGCGTGCAAAGGGGCCGCCACTGATGCCTTATGCGGTAAAAACGCATGATAAAAATTCAGGAGTCCTAAAAAGGATTGGAGCTCCTTCTTACTCACCGGCCTGGGGGCGTTTTGGATTGCAGATACCTTCTCATCCGTGGGGTGGACTCCCTCTGCGTCAATGCGAAACCCCAGGAAGTCCACACTTTCCACCCCGAGCGTGCATTTTGAGCGCTTAACTCTGAGGCCGGCATTTTGAAAACGCCTGAGGACCTCTTTAACCCGGTCCAGTAGTTCCTGTTCAGACCCGCCCGCAATCAGCACGTCGTCAAAATAGGGCACTGTGCCAGGTACCCCCCTTAGTAGACGTTCCATGAGGCCCTGAAAAATCCCAGGTGCTACGTTGACCCCGAATTGCAGCCTGTTCACTTTAAAAGCCCCTTGGTGGGTTACAATTGTTTGGGCCTCGGCAGCCTCCGGGGTGACAGGCAACTGCTGGTATGCCTGGGCCAGGTCAAATTTGGCGAAAATCTTGCCACCCCCCAGGGAAGCCAAAATGTGGCTTATTACCGGGACCGGGTACGAATGTTGCTGCAGCGCCTTGTTAATCGTACATTTGTAATCGGCGCATAGTCGTATGGACCCATCTGATTTGACAGGGGTTACGATCGGGGTCTCCCATTTGCTGTATGGTACTGGCTCTAAAACCCCTTGCTCAACTAGTTTGTCAATCTCTTTTTCCACCTTATGTTTGAGAGACACAGGTACTTTCCGATACTTCAACCTAATAGGTTTGACTGACGGATCTAAGTCAAACGCAACCGGGGGGCCCTTGTACCTTCCCAACCCTTCGGCAAATACATCAGGGAACAGGTCGTACAGCATGCCCCATTTATTTTCAGACATCCTGTTAATCCCAGAAATACCGATGCCCAATGGCTCAAACCAATCTAACCCTAGCAGGTTAACCCGGTCTCCCTCTGCAATCAGGAATGACAGTTTAACACATTTCCCCTTATACTCAACAGTAACAGAGTCCCGTCCGGCCAAGGGAATTCGGTTGCCCTGGAAGTCGGACACTCTGGTTCCCGCAGGCTGGAGCCGCCGCCGGCTTCGGTTCGGGAACAACTGGCGCCAGGACGCGGCAGAAATCACCGTCACGGACGATCCTGAGTCCACCTCCATTGTACAGGGTCGGCCGTCGAGGAGTGGAGTCACGGTGATCTTGCCCTGGCTGCTGGTGCGATTTACGGCCGATGCGCTCGACAAGGTCGCCGTCAACTGGCAGCTTGCTTCCGATGCTGAGGAACGGGTCTTGCCTTGGGTGCTGACTGGAGTGCCCCTCTGCGCTGACCGGTTGTTAGTTGAGGGATCCTTCTTCGCTGATCTGCAGACTCTGGCCAGATGACCACGCCGCCCACACGCTCTGCAGTCGACATCACGAGCCCAACAGGAGCCGCGCTGGTGCTTCCCGCCACAACCGGAGCAAGGCTTGACGTTGGTAGTCTTCGCTGGGGTCCGCTTGCCTCGAACCGCGTTGACGTCATCATCCGCGTCTTCGCCCTCGCTGTCTCGTTGAGCGTGTATACTGGGCTCTGCCACCCGCTGGCGGACCTCCTTCGTGGACTTCTCCGCTGCTTCCGCGGCCACGGCCTCTTCGTAGGCCACTGCCCAGGTCAGGGTGGTGCGGGCGAACAGCCTCTGTTGCAGCCTTTCATCTTTGAGACCGCAGACGAGACGGTCTCTGAGGGCTTCCTCCACGTTGTGGAAATTACATGGCCGTGCGGCTTTGCGAAGGGCCGCCACGAAATCTGCGATGGTCTCGCCTCCGGCCTGGTTCCGCTTGTAAAAAGCGTGCCGGCAGGCGATCTCCGACGGTTGTGGAGAATAGTGAGCCTTAAGCTTCTCCGTGATGTCAGCGTAGGTGACAGTCTTTATATCAGTTGGGGCCACCAACGACCTGGCTATGTCGAAGGTCCCCTTCCCGCAGGAACTCAGGAGGCATGCTCGTTTCTTCGCCTCATCGGTGATGTCGTGGGTCTCCAGATGGAACTCGAACCTGGACAGGTAGGAGTCCCAGTCTTCTGAGGAGGGTTCGAAGCACTCGAACTTCTGGCTTCCAGCCATCGGGGGAGACTTGGGCACCGGAGCTGGTGGCGCCTCCGCCGGATCGGCTGCTGTGCTCTGCCCGCTTTCTTCCGAGTCCGAAGTGTGGATGTCCGCAGGGCTGCCTACCTGCTCTAACATCCCACCTTCGTCGCCAATTGTTAGATCGCGCTAACAAAGGACTCGTACAGTGATTCAGCAAGTGATTCAGCTTTATTGGAAGTAACGAGCAAGCACTAACTCAGTAAGAAACCAGAACAGAAAACAGTGGGAGCTTATGCTCCTTTTAAACATAACCGGGCTAATGTAGCCACGCCTATTTACAAATAACAACCAATGAGATTGCTAGAATAAAGACCAATGGGAGTCTTTCCCTCCTAGGGAATGGTATCGTTCTGATTGGTCGCTGTTACGAAGCGACCAATAGGAAGTTTGCTCAGAGGAGCCCTGGTCTGGCTCGAAGCTTAACAGGGGAGTCCTATGAGGTGATTCATGTAATCATTTCAATACATTACACTTATAAATCACTTGAACGCAAAAAAGCTGCCTTCTACTGACTCAGACCCTTGGTCTTTCAAGGTCAGTATCCTCTAGTCCAGAGGTGTCAAACTCATTTGTTACGTGGGCCGTATCTGACAGAAATGTCACTTTGTCGGGTCGGGCCACGTGTGCCATAAAACATAATGCCAGTACTGGAGATATGAAGTGTATAAATGACAGCAGCTCGTAAACTCCGAGCTGGTGTATTCTCACTGCAAGGCCCCATGGGCTGGGAGGGGAGTGCAGAGAAAAACCCACATGGGTGGACTGGAGAGCCAGCAATGCGGCACTGGGCACATTGCTTGACTGCTGCAGATGAGGTTGCTCTGTCGTGACGAAGCTACAATTGGAGTGGCTTAACCCACTCCCCGCCCTGAGCAGTCTCCTGTTCCCTCCCTTGCACCAGTTGCTTGTGGGCCGCATAAGAGCTCTGTTGGGGCCGGTTCCAGCCCCCGGGGCCTTATGTTTGACACCCCTGCTCTAGTCTGACTGGCAGCAGGTCTCCAGGGTTTCAGGTAAAGGTTCTCCCCCATCATCTACTTCTTGATTCTGTTAACAAGAAATGACCACCTAGGACCTTCTGCATGCAAGTCAGGAGCTATACCACTGAGCCACAGCTCCTTAGCACGCATGGAATACAATTCCTCTCGTTTTAACTTCTAGCCTTTGGTTGTTGCCTTTCTTTGCTTGCTGCTGCCATAAATCAGAATTACTCAGCTTGAAAAATATTTTCTGGCGCATCACTGCAAAGGAGAAGTTAACTGGCAAATGTGACATGAAGGAGAGATTGGGGCAGATCCAACCACAACATCAAACAGACACTGAGCTCCTCCATATACGCTTACTTACCGACTTTCCGCCGGATCTGGGTGTTTTCAGCACCTCCATCCAGTATGTTGGTAAGCCTCTCTACACTGAAGGAGGCGGTTTTCCTCTCAACGCCAAGATCAGGGTTAACATCTTGTCCAGTGGAACTCTGGAAACCTTTACTGACATTCCGCAAGGCCATTTTGAAAGTTCAGGGAACACTGAGAAAAGCAATGACATTGATTAGGCTGTTTCATTGTTTCATTGTCTTATCTGAGTGTCTTCTGATGCCTTACAAGGAAGAGGAAAATCACTCTAAAATATAGAAAGAGGACTAGAGAAGGACCAGGACTGTCACAAATTGTGAAGACAACAGGATTATAGGTTTGAAGAAGTGGTGGAGTTTCTCGAGACAGAAGCAAGTGAAAACTGGCAGGAGAAAAAAAAGAAGAAGAGGAAGGTCGAGAAATAATTGCATAGAAAATAAAAGTAGATAAAATGCAAGGGCCCTTGGTGAAATGGAAAAAGGCTGGTAAAAGATTTCTTAGCATCTGGACTGGAACCCACCAACCAATTGCAGCCACAAACTGTGGACTACCAACTCCTTGGTTTTTGAAGTCTGAAAAAGGAAGCAAGAGGTTGGATTTTTATTTTTATTTTTAAAGTCAGGGTGGTGTAGCGGTAGGAGTGTCGGTGTAGGATCTGGGAGACCCAGTTTCCAATCCCCACTCTGCCATTGAAGCTTGACCTGGGGCCAGTCACACACTCTCAGTCCATCCTAATTCATCTGTCTCCCTTCAAGCTGCCACACAATCTTAGAATTTGTCAACGTGGTGACCAGACGCTGGACAGCGGGAGACACAGAGGCAAGGCCTGAGAGAACATGAAAGGGAAAATGGGAGTCCTACCCCTCTCAGTGGGCAATTCCTTACAAAAGGGAAGTGGTGGGGGCAGGCTACCCTGAGAGTAAAAGAAAAGCCCCTCCAGGTGATAGAAACACCCAGGAGGACAGGGTGGAATAGGGCCTGCAGACCAGAGCAGGCATGTTCCACCACAATTGTTAGGATCTCCTGGCTATACTACATACAATGCCCAAATGATAATTATTAATTACTAGGAATAAGGCCTGTTGTGGAAATAAATACAACAAGCCCTAGAAAGAGGTTCTGGGTTGGTGCCCTGGCCTTGGGCACTCAGCATCAATTTGCTGTGGTGACCTCAGCAGGGTATAATGATATAGAGTCCAGGGGAACTGATCTCTGCCATCTGGAGAGCAGTTGTAATTCTGAGTGATCTCCAGCCCTCATCTGGAGATTGGCAACAAAGGTTCCCCAGGAGGAAACCGCTGGTTTAGAGGGTGAAGTCTATGGCATTGTACCTATCTGAGGTCCCACCCCTCTTAAAACCCCACTCTCTCCAGGCTCCACCCCTCAAATCTCCAGGAATGTCCTAACCTGGAGTTGGCAACCCTATCCCAGCTAACCATCAACCTACTTTTATCTGCCCCTCTGACTTCGGCTTTTCATCTCCCCTACCCCCACCTGCAACCGAGGAAAAGTGCAGTCTTTCTCCACAGTGGGGACCCAAGCAGGAGGGAAGCAGGGCCAGTGCCAGGGTTTTTTGCACACAAGGCAAGGCCCCCTCCCCCCCCCCCGGTGCACCCACCAATTTTCAAACATAAATGCATTTTAGGAAGAATGAAAAACACAAAATTTGAACAAGTAGTACAATCTTTGATTTTCTCTCTCAAACAGAAAAACACAAATCACAAAACATTTTGAAAAATCCTGTTAACTGATGTCCGGGATGTGCCAAGCCAGACAGATGCCGGAGCAGGCGCTCTCTGCTGGGCCTGGCAGAAGGCTCCCTTCTTGCTCTGTCTGCAGCCAAGGAGAGGAGTGGCAGGCCAGCAACCACAAGGCTCTTCCTGGAGAAGGGCAGGGGCATGTACTCCATCTGGGAGGTGCTGGTGAAACAGAGGAGCCCGAAGCCCGCCTGGTCACCTCGAGATTGAGGCAGGCCCAGGAGGCGAGCTTCTCCCCATGCTCCCCCCACCATCCTGGAGACAGATAGAGCATGCCGGGAAGTTACACTCCGATGCCAAGAAGTCACCAGCCTGGCCAGGGAGGGGGGCACCCCATGCAGCACTGCGACAACCATCCCAGAGCATGGATGCACGTGCCAACGAGGAGGAGGCACCAAGGGAAGGACCAGGGGGGCGGGCAGCCAGTCAGCCAAAGCCAAAGCCCTTGTTGTGGGTACTGGCTCTGCTGAGATTGACCACTCCTCAGATGAGGAAGAGGCAGGTAGCAACCCAGCCTCCTCTGGAGTCAGCCCAGAAGAGGAACCCTAAGGGAGAAGAGACCCCAGCAGCTGCACAGGAGGCGCAGCCAGAAGAAGAGACTGATCCAGAACCTGGCCCAGCACCAGCAGTTGAAGACACCCCGAGGCCAGAATCCCCACCTAGTTCTGAGTGCCCCAGACGCAGGGCACACCAGAGGCTGAATATGCAAGAACAAAGGAAGAGTGCCAGGCTGCAGCTCTTGCAAAAGCAATGGGAGGAGTTGTGAGTCTTGGCAGATTGACTCCCAGGGAAGGGAGGACTTGTTCATAAACACCCCATGCATATGCCTCAGCACGGTAGCAACCGTGCATGCTCAGATCCGCACCTGGCTTGTAGCAACCTCTCCTTGCTCCTGCAACCTTGCATTGATTTCCCGGCTCTCTGACCTTTGGCTCTGTTATTTGACTTGATTCCGGACTATGCCTCTATTTTCCAGTGTGTGGCAACTGTGATAACCAGCTGAGCCAGTACAGCTTGCTACCACTCTAGGCAACTGCCTAACTTGGCTATATGTATGGGCCGGCCCTGGAGGAAAGCAACCTTAGTGCTTGGGTCCCCACTCTGTGCAATGACGCATAGTCCATCCTGCAAAGCAGCCATTTTATTGAGTGGAACTGATCTCTGTCATCTGGAGAGCAGTTTTAACTCTGAGTGATCTCCAGCCTTCACCTGGAGATTGGCAGCAACGTTTAACCAGGAGAAAATGACTGCTTTTGAGGGTGGAGTCTATGGCATTTTATTCAGCTGTGGCCTCTCCCCTCCCCAAACTTTGGCTTCTGTAGACTCCACCACAAAATCTCCAGGAATTTCCCAACCTGGAGGTGGTAGGCCTGGAAAGGGCCTCGTGCCTTTGCCTTTTTACTAACAGAACCAGGCTTGGTTGTCTAGCAACAGCCACTGAGGGAAATGTTAGCCCCACAGGAACCAAGCAGGAGAAGTGTCTTTGTCAGGAGAGACAGCCATTTTGGCAATTTATTCTGTCAGGGAATGGGGCCAGGCTGGCAGTGGGCGGGACAGAAAAGCAGACCCAGCCCCCAGCCAGTGGCACACAAGTACTCTTGAGTGGTGGTTGATGGGCCAATGGCTGATGGAGCGCACAGCACAGTCAACGGGAGAGCTAGAAAGTGACAATACGTTAGGGCTTTTATATATATCAAACTATTTGTCTCCTTCTATTACTGTCCTATGCCAGAGGGTGAAGACTTTATTGTTTTGTCTAGCATACCCTCAGTAAAGGTTATCAGCTCTCCTTCTAGCCGTGTTTGTCAAGGTCTCAAACCTGGGTCCCTCTGAGCCACTACCCCTTGGGCAAGCACTCAGAGCTGTGGTTCCTCAAGGAACCAGACCGTGGTAAAATATGCAAAGGTTTATTAAATACTTTAACAAAATATGATATCACTAGGCAACACAGTGTCTACTAGGGATGGGCATGGACCCAAACACCAAGCTAGAATCCAGGCCGAATTTTGCCTTTTTCTATGCTCAGATGGACCGGCTCGAAGGTTATGTATCTGGTGCCCCGAGTGCACGAGCTTCTCCTGCCCAGCTCGGAAGCATTCAGGCACTTTCATCAGAGAAACCCCACCCCTGCAGTTTCACGCGGAAAAGCAGGTGTGCGTGAGACTTTCCAGCTGTTGAGGGACCAGTATCAAGCATCCGAGGCTAACAGGCATCTCCGATTTCGTTGTACTATGTACAATGACAATAAAGTATATTACTACTATATTTCCAATTAAAGACGTCCATCCTTCCCTTCGAATGTGAGGGGGTGTGTATATTATCAGCAGGCAGCACGTGACTGTTGTTTGGTTCACGTTGGATTCTCTGTGAGTCTAGTGCTCCTTTTGTGTGTGGAAAAATCTCGTGCTGAGCATGGTGTGGGGGGGAAATTTACTGGGGTTGCTGGGTGGGTGGAGAAACCTGCTGGATCTCCTGGCATCGATACAAACTGCCAGATGAAAAGCCTCATCCTGTGTCTTTTTCTCGCCTGCCTTCCCTTGCCTGAGTTCCAGCAATGCTTTTTCCCGTCCCGTCTCTTTCTTTGATTGGGGGGGGGGGAGAGAATGGGATTTGAACTGGTTTACTTTTAAAATACGTTTTTGGTTTGACTTGGGAAACAGGACTCCCCACCCCACCCATCTACCCACCACAGCCAGGCAGTCGGACCACACTACTGGGTCCCTCCCAGGAGGACTGAAACTTCTATGTTTACTTATGTGTCTCCTCCCCCGTGGGAGAGGGTGCTACCAGGCTGGTCCCCAGCAGGGGCCCTGTCCGGGGGCTGGGACTCCCCACCCCACCCGTCCACCTGCCACAGCCAGGCGGTCGGACCAACCTACTGGGTCCCTCCCAGGAGGGCCCACACTTCCATGACTACTTACGTGTCTCCTCCCCCACGAGGGAGGGTGTTACCAGGCCGGTCCCCAGTGGGGGCTCTGTCCAGGGGCTGGGACTCCCCACCCCACCCATCCACCCACCACAGCCAGGTGGCCAGACCACGCTACTGTCTGAAATCATCGCCGGACAAGTCCTCCGGAAGCAGATTCCCGGGGGGCACTGGACTTGTGGGGCACATGGAGGGCCACCCCAGGGACGAGCTGTGTGAGGACATCCCACTGAAAAGCATTGTCTCCTTGGGGGTCTGGTGGGCATATCGAGGACAGTGAGCTGGAATTATGCTGAGAATTTGGGCCCCTGCTACCGCCCAGGGTTTTTTCTTCATCCAGACCGGTTCGCGAACCAGTTCACGAACTGGCCACAGTTCGGCTCAAGAACCGGTCTGGGAATGGGGTCAGTTCAGTTCAATTCGGTCCAGGGCAAAATCTGGAAAGTGCCTATCCCTAGTGTCTACAATCCCGCAGCAAGAAAATAAGAAAA